CAAAGTCGGTCTTATGTTTCGGTTGTACCACCCTTGAAGCAATTCATTTGCATGAAGTTACCAGGGCTATCATGGCAGCCAATAAGCAATAAATAAAAACCTACAAGGCTCCTTGAAAGGTAAAGAGATGGACGGTCGTTAAAGCCGACCAACATTCAAGAGTGTATACGTTATTTGGAGGGTTGTCTGAGCCATAAGGGAGAAAGCGACATCAGGGGCTGCACCTTTGTACAAACGGCATGAAAGCCGAATGAAATGAGTAAGCCCCCCTTCATGTGAGGGAAACCTTAACCTCTTGTATCCAAGCGGCATTAATATAAAATGATAAGGTTAGGCACATCCGGCTGTGACTTCATATGCTCGAAGGCAATTCCAAATCTGGTTGTCAAGCAACCTTTGTATTTGGTTAAGCTCGACAGCCGGCCTCTCAAGGTCCTTCAAAGGCTAAGCTACCCAATTACATAGGTTAAGCATCGAGCATTGAATATTTGAGGCAACATTGATTTATTCTCTTCTAAATAATGTTGATGCATTAAAATAAACTAAGTTAAAAACTTAGTAGCCAAACTAATGTCCAAGTGGCATAAGGCCAATAGCCGGATAATAAACTAAGTAAAAAAACTTAGTGGCTATACAACCGTCTTAAAAATACATGAGGCCAATGGCCGAATGGTAATATATTTTATAAATTCGCCTGCTCCAACATGAGTAAGACTTTTGGCGACGCCTATCTGGGTGAAATCGTCGCAGAGAGTAACTCCCGTCCTGGTGACATAGTGCTCTACAACCACATGCATGCAAAAAAGATTGAACAACCTAATTGGTCAACTCATAGTCTTCTCACCTGGGTAATCTAAAGAACGATTAATTCTTCGCAAACCGGATGTCTAAAAGACATTAGCCGGTGACCGGTCAAAGTTCTAGCCTAGATTACCTTCCGAAATTATACGATTCCACCCAATGGAATAAAAGGACATTAAAAGTATAATTACAAACACCCCAGGCGGCCATTTGCCTCTTGTCATATCAGGCGGCCATTTGCCTCATGTCCTGCCAGGAGACCATTTGCCTCCTGCCCTATGAAATGTCAGGCGATCATTTGCCTCATGTCCTATCAGGCGGCCATTTTCCTCCTGTCCTATCAGGCGGATATTTGCTTCCTGTCTAGCCAGGCGGCCATTTTCCTCTTGCCCTATGAAATGTCAGGCGGTCATTTGCCTCCTGCCCTATCAGGCAGCCATTTGCCTCCTTTCCTGTCAGGCGACCATTTGTCTCCTGCACTATGAAATGTCAGGCGGCCATTTGCCTCCTATCCTACCATTTTCCTCCTGTCCTGCGGGACGGCCATTCACCTCTTGCCTTATGAGATATCAAACGTCTCAAAAATATTCTAAGTCACCCAAAGGTCATATTACCACCATATTGGGGCTAAAAGAAATGAAAGATCATTATGATGACTGATTAACTTAGAAAATGTCATCCATTAAGATATCAAAATTTCCAAGTTAATCAAATCTCTCTATTATTGAACTAGACATATGCCGACCAAAGAGCTTTTGAGCAAGTGGCAAATAAAACCTTAATTTCAAAAGGAGCAATTCCTCTTGAAAGAGAAATTACCTCTTTCGAGGGGCTAATGTTTAGGGTGAAAATACCTTCTATATGTGGACCAATGCCACCGCAACAGGTGTCTGCAAGCTCATCGCTCAATGAGCCAATTAGAGCATGACACGTGTCACTCGATGATAGAAGGGTGAAAATGGGCTCTAAGCTGTAAAATGGAGGGAAGACAATTTACTTAGGTTAAATAACATAAAAGGCACATGTCTCAATGCTCTATAAATACTAATCATTTACATCAGTTCAAGGAGAGTTAATTCATCCTCCAACGGCAATGCCCCCTACAATTACTCTCCCTTCTATCTATTTTCTCTCTCTAAAATACATTCTTTCGGTCACTAACTTAATCATCGAAGGCAGACCTCCGGCCCCTCCAAGGTCCGTTGTATTGAGGTGAACAAGCCTTCAAGTGCTGCATTGCGGATCTGTCTCCCACGGGACATTCACACTCTCCATTCGGGTACATAGAAAAAACTCTGAAACAGCTGATGTACTATCAAGGGTGCAAGGTTCTTAAATAATGTTCATGGATATATTAGTGATTGAGTCAAACCTAGCTCACTAAATTAATACTAGTTATGCCTTGGATACAAACACAACTTCCCTGATTCATAAATTGAAATAGGGTGAACCAGTTCCTAGTTTCCAATTTCATGATGGAATTTTGAAGAAAAATGGTAGAATAGTGGTGGGACCAGATGAAAACTTGAAAAACAAGTTGATTAATTGACAACATGCTTCTTTGGAAGCTGGACACTTAGCTAGGGACAAAATTGGGAAGAGAATGCAGGGCATTTTTTTATTGGAGGGGCATGCTGAAGGATATAAGTCAATTTGTTAGGAGCTTTACACTACAGAGCAGTTAATTATCAGTATACCTATTATAGCAGCATCTTCATCTCTTTCTTCAGCATCTCTTTCTTCATTGATGTTGTCTTCTATAATTACATTATCTGCTGCATACATCATTAGTATTAGTATATTTGAATTTTACTTTAAAATTATCAGAAAAATAGATTCGAATTTAAATTAATTTTCTACGACATCTTATATATACAATTCGAATTAAAATAGCTTTGATTGCAAGTTATTAGTCGAACTTAAATGCGATCGGAATATAATTAGCATTGATTTTAAATTATAAGTCAAAATTAACTACGATTTGAAATTAAATTATGATTCATTCAAAATTAATAACGATCTGTAATTTAATAAGCATTGATTGCATATTATAGGTCTAAATTAACTCGAATTTACATACGATCTGATATTAAATCGAAATTTAATACGATCTGAAATTCAATTTGCCTTGCATGTAAATTATAAATCGAAGTTCATAATACAAATTCACTATTACATTTAACAAATATGATTTGAAATTAAAAACAATATGAAATTATGAATTGTATTGTACCTTTTTCAGCAGTAATTGTGCTAGAATTTGATTCTATGGGTGAATCAGATTCTATTTCAATCATCATTATGTTGTTTGATTTCTCCATTTTTTTGATTTGAATTGTTTGAAATTTGAAGATTTGAATTGAAATTTAACGAAATGAAGGAGTTCGAAATTTTGAGTAAATGACGGCGCTCAAAATTTTAGGAAAATGATGAAAACAAAAAAATTCGACATTTTATTAAATGGCGCGTGGGTTTTGGTCGGGTTTACTAGGCCCGCGCCTTTTTCATTTACAGCCCGCTCTCACGTGAGTCCAGTCTCACACAAAACGCTTTGTTTATTGAAAAGTAATGAATGCGAGAGGAAAGATATAATAAAAAAAAAGTAGTAGTGGGTTTGGGTGGGGACCATGAGAGGAGAGAGATACTTCTTCTGAAACTTTTTAGTTGACACGTTTCTTTAGTCACGTTTGTCAATGCACTTATTCAATCATTAATATCTTTAATTATCGATAAGCAAAAATTATGAAAAGTTGATATTTTGAAAGTATATAATGTGACGAATCTAACATGACTGTATTTTTCATTACGTATAAAGCACAAAATACGGTCAAAGGAAGGTAGATGAATAGTGCTAAAGTCGGAACGTGTCAACTAAAATAAACGGACGTATAATATTTTAATGTAACTTTTTGCCAAAAAAGAAAGTGTAACACTTAAAAAAATACGGCCGAAAATAGGAAGTGTAACACTTAAAAAAACACGGAGGGAGTAGTTTTTTATAAATCTATAATAATGTAAAAAAAAATAGAAAATAACATAATATAATAATTGTCTTAAAAAAAATATACTCCGAATATATAATTTAATAATTTAAGGCAAAATTTAAGAAGGTTTCAAAAATTAAGTAAGAATAAAAATAAGAATATGATGTCAGTAATTGATTTAGGAGAGAAATTTTTTTACCACAACTTGACATTTGTACAATTTAAATAGGGGATGATGTCAGCGGTTATTACTTTAGTTATATTTATAAATATAATTATTGATTGATTATTGATACCTGTGAAGCTGAAAGCATTGAGGTATTACAAGTTTACAACTACAGAATTGGAAAATCAAAGAAAAATCAACCTATTCAACAAGTTACTAGTTGTAGACAACCTAAATGTATCTCACCAAAATAAAGTACGACGACGAAATAACATTCACCGCCTTATTTGGTCTGGTTCAAGTTTGGATTTGAAGATGACATCTAGATATTTTACAACGATTTAAAAATAAAAAAAAATAAAAAAAAAACCCCAATTTGCAGCGTCTATGCCGCTACTAGGCATGCCATGATGCCCTTTTATGCCACGTTTTTCTTTTTTTCTTTTTTTTTTGCCACGCTTTTTTCTATCTATAAATACTGACCTATTTTATGAGTTTGGGGATAATTTTAGCAACCGGTATTTATTACGGAGATAACCCTAAGCCCTATTCTCTCCCTCTTCAAGTAATCCGACGTTTTAAGCCAAGGTTCGAAAATTCTACCTTTTGGTTAAAACGTGACAATATAATTTTACTGTATCAATTTTTCTAACTCGAGCCTTAATTTGTTTCTTATTAATTTAAATTACTACCTCTATTAACGGTTATCTGCAACTTTGAAATTTTTTATATCTCATAAATAATACCCAAAGTTGCAAATAATCATTAGCGAAGATAGTATATTAAAGTTTACTAACAATTTATTCATGATTTAACATTCAAAGTTGCATGTTCAAGTGAACAATTATTCACATTCACACGTGCTAAGGTAGGTTGACTCATAGGACGCCTACACCACTCATCTAAGATTACTGAGATCAACAATTATAAATCAGCCTTAAGCCCTTAACTTACTACAGAGAGTTTGAGAATTCAAATTAGAAATTACATTGGGTTGGCCTATGTGAAATTCGGCTTAAATTTTAACTCCAACCCAACATCAAATTAAATTAGACTTGCCAAATTCAAAAGCTTTATATAACCATACCAAACTGCACCAGAACTTCCTTTGTCAAAAAAAAAAAAAAAAAATTAAAAAAAAATAATAATAAAACTGCACCAGAACTTTTTATAATAGGCCAACAGCCACTCTTAACTGCACATATAACTATCATTACAATATGTACATTTTGCACATTTTCCTTCTAGTGTGAGACAAAACCTGTATAGATAAAGACATCCTAAGTTAAATTGCAACAGCACACTGGCATTCAAATTGCACAGCTGATATAGATGTCCTCAATATGATCAGAGAACTCTTGACAAACTTCCATCCGATCAAAAACTTAGGCACACCTTTCAACAGGCGGTTTGACGTAAGAATGAAGTGAATCAGGTAGGTAGTTAAAAGTGTTATGTTAGAATCAATAACTCCATATGACGTGCAACATTTACACTTCGACGGCCATGATAGATGGCGCACATTTCAGTTGCAACATGTGTGCTCTAAGGCTGCAATCTTTAACCTGTTTTCCATCCAAACCAGCAGTCACAATATAATCATAATATTATTTTAAACATAAGTTATCATTCAGTGAAGCCCCTACAATAAGCAAAAAAATGACTGACAAGGAAAATTGAAACGGAAAAAAGCTATTAATGCTACCTGTATAGAACAAAAAATACAGAATATTGGACCAGGATAGTTCATCATGTTAAGTATTCTCAGTAGAACATCAAGTGATATAAGACATAAGAATATATAAGAGCCAAGAATTCTCTATAGAGATCTTAATATATTCTTATGTCTTATATCACTTGGTGTTCTACTGAGAATACTAACACGATGAACTATGCTGGTATAACCCTGTGTCTAAAAATCAGCAGCTAAAGTCCACTTATCACCAAAGTTGCATAGCCCTACCCTAAAGGAGGCCGGCAAGATGAAAACGGCTGAGTAATCGAAGAATGTAGGTCAATTTCATAAATGAACTCTTCTTTGATTTGGTAGGGCCTCCCTCTAAGATAGCTATTTCACTGTTTGACTATTTATATACAACACAAAAACCTAGAAAGGTATCTTATTTTTAAGGTAACTCCGTCCATCATTGACAACCAAGTATATTGCTTTGATGAAAAGGGTTCTAGATCAGACATCTCCATATTAAATAATAGGGGTGCTTGATTAGAAAGCTTCAAATTCTACCACCCAAAAAGGGCAGTGACAAAACACTGGATAACAGGCAACAATTCACCATTTCTATTACAGCTTCTACAATAGATAGCAAGCGCTTGAACCTTATATTTACCTGCATGGCTGCCAACATTGATAATATGTCTTTGCACTCATTGAGGAAAGATTGTTCCTTTACAGTAATGCTGGCAACTTCTGCCACCAATAAATTTACATCCTCAACCTGTCAGTCACAACAATACAAGGTCAAAATGTTATCTTAGACAGGCAACAGAATTCCTTCAAGACTTTTTAGGAAACAAAATAATATCTAAACTGAAATATATTCATACAAGACACGACTACAAAAGCAATGGCATGAACAAAACAGAAAATTAGCATAGCACAATCCTGACACACTAAAGGATTGTGCAATACTTTAACAACTAGTATTCAAAGAAACAGTGAGCAACAACAATCTTGAATGACTACTGTGCTTCTATGGTGTACATAATTTCAAATTGATTTTATCTCTGTGCGCTCATACTAATATCCTTGAAATAATCGGTGAAATGGCAAGTGGTATCAGCTATATATGTTCAATATCTTTATATAAATTTCACAATATTTTATACTACCTCCATTACTTTTTATTTACAACAAACTGAACAAAGGAACTTATATCTCACAAAAAAAAAAAAAAAAAAAAAAAAAAAAAAAAAAAAAAACCTTTGTTGCAACAAAAAAGTAGAGGAGGTAGTAACATATATCATACAACCACAGTTGCAAATGGTTAAAATTGCACAAAAGAAAAAATTAAACATACCCAAAACCATACAAGCCACACACTGGACAACCATGGCAAACAATTAATAATGGGACAAGGGGAATTTAACAAAACCTAGACAAAATATATAGATGCCATGATTCTAAAGTAACAACACACGCCCAAGTCACAAAAAGTAAAAGGTCATATTAAGAACAGAATGCAAAAATAGAAGTAGGTTTAGTCAGGGGCTACTTTAACAAAATGCCAAAGACTTAGGGGCTGCTGATTTCTGTACAAGCATTTTACTATGTAAATAGGGAGTTCAAGATCAATTTGAACATGGAAGACAAGATTGACGAATGAAGGAGAGAAAGATGATACAAGAAGGAGAAGCAGCAGCAATTGGAAGCCGTAATTGGCAGAGTCCCAACTTAAGATTCATTGACCAACCATGACAAGTGGTAAATACCAAGAAGCAGGGATTGGGGGGGGGGGGGGGGGGGGGGAGGGGGGGAGATGGAGCAGGGAGAAGGCGAAGTCACCAAGTAACTGTGCAACAAACTTTTGTACACGTATTAAGAAAGAGGAGAGAGAAAATGAAAGGGCAACATCTAATCAATCTAAATCAAAAGGAACTAAAACCCCTTATACAAAACCATATACAAAACCATACTGCCACCGCCGCCGAAATAAGACCTATTGTGAAAAGGCTGCCTAATATACTCAAAACATCATTGACAAACTAAATCAAAAGGAACTTATTACTTTAATTTTTCATTTTTTTTCAGAATTTAATACTTATTTGATTTATTTCAAATCATATCAGGAAAACAGTAAAATAAAAAATACTACCTTCGTTTCTTAGTTTGTTCAGCAAAATGCCTTGCACATTTTCCAAGACAACTTTTAAAGGATGTTAATTTAAGAAATAGACAGATAATTAAGAAAGCTAATTACCACCATCCCACCAAATACTAACATCAACAATCACCCTATCACCACCAACACCCCACCCCCCACACATCCACCCTAACCACCAGAAACCAACACACCACCCACCCACCCACCACCCGTCCACCCACCAGAAAATGACGAGACTCAAAACCCACCACCCAAAACCCCCAGAAACTAACGCAACCACCGGAAACTATCAAAACCACCCTCTAAAACTCAGAGGAAGGCAAGTAATTTGACAAGGAGGGGCGACGACGACTTTGATCTTGATTCTTGGCAATTAAGAGGGGTGGCAACTTTGATCGTGACGAGACGAGTGGTGGTGGTCATGGTGGTTGTTATGAGGATGGGGACAAAAAATAAGGTGGTGTGGTGGTTGTGAGAAGAGAGAGACAAGTGGTGGTGAGGGTGGCTTAGAGGGAGGAGAGAGAAAATGTGGTGGTGTGGGTGGTGGATGTGGTGTAAGGGAGGACAAAGATTGTGGGTTAGGGTTTTATAGAGGGATGATTAAGTTAAATTTATTAAGTTAATAACATGAAGTTTGATGTGCTAATGGAAGTGAATTATGGGTCTGTTGGTACTTTTACTTTAAAATATTTACTATAAAAGGAAACTTTTTTTTGTTACACACAACTTGTAAGTTGTAATACTCCAAAATGGCAAATGTTGCACAAAATAAGAAATGAAGGTTGTATGTTCACATATTATAGGAAAAAAATAAAACTAAATTAAAAAAAAATAAAAATACTTTAAGAATAATGTGCGACATTTTATCACAAAATGTCTTAAGGATTCAATTTTTGAAATATTCAGTGATGATGGAGGTGGTGAGGGTGGTGGTTTCGGTGAAAGTAGGGTAGGTGGGTGGTGTTTCAAGGGAAGGTGGTGAGGGTAGAAGGTAGTTTCGGGGAAGTGGTGAGGGTAGAAGGTAGTTTTGGGGAAGGTGGTGAGGGTAGAAGGTAGTTTCGGGGAAGGTGGTGAGCGTGGATGGTTCGAAGAAGGTGGTGAGAGTGGGGGCATGAATAGTGAGTGATGGTGGTGATGGTGGCGATTTAGGATATGGCAGTAATCTTGGTTGGTGGTGACTATGGTGGACAAGGCGTATGGAGGGAGGGGGGAGTTAGAAGCAAAAGGAGAGTGTGTGGTCAAAGTTAATAGTTGGGGGCTGGTGTAATTAGTGGGGTATATTTCATATGTTAATTAATTAGGGATAGTATGGTAACCTTGTAAGAAAAAAATTTCATTTTGAACTGTGTTGCAACTATTGTGACATTTCCTTTTAAGGAAAGTGTTGCACATTAAGGAAAAGTATAAAACAATTCTATCATGTGATATTGTGTTCATCATATTAAGACATTAGTATGGGGCTAACAAGCAAAGAACCATCCAAACAAGAATTTTTAATTTGATTCTCTACAACAGGAAGTATAGTTGGGTATTCCGTATTCAATAGTTCAGATTATTTAGATTTAGTTTAATACTCTTAAATCTATTCTTCGGATATAACAATGTGAGGGAATTTATAAGTATTGAATTCAAACATATGCTATTCTAGATAGAACTCTAAATTTTACATTCAAGTCTAAGGCTAATATACTTCCTATTAGAGTTCACACATAATTAAATGAACATTGGATTCAATCCAAAATTAGATCAACAAATCAAAACTGCAGAACAAGCAACATGAGAGAAAGGAATTATGCTTTTACTAAAGTAGAACAAAAATGTAGAGTTGAAGAACCAACCAAAAAAAAAAAAGTAAAAAAAAAAATTGCTTACCAAAAAAACAAGGATGGGTGATGACAATGCTAATACATAATTGACTAATGGTGACGAATGGAATAGTGAAGATAAAAGGTCTATATCATGGGTCTTAGTTTTAAAAAGCGCACCTTACAGCCAATTCAGGCACAAGCACCTACAAAAACACGTGCCTTGGTGTGCCTCAAGACATCTTCTATGGCATAAGACGTTGCGTCTTTGTCGCTTTATGGTTTAAGGCTCTAGTTGCTGCTCACTTTTCATGTATATATATATATATTTTTTTTTTTAAAAATAAGTGTATTTAAAACCCCTAACAATCGTATAATTAGACAAGAGGAGGGTGAAAAACCCTAATCCCCAACTCAATTGTATATTGATAACCCTAGTTCGAAGAAGAGTGAGAACTACCAGTTGTCTACCACAACCAACGGTTGCTAGTCAACGTTCGCCACCATGAAACTGCTGGTCTTCTATCTTTTCTTTTTTCCTTTTTTCGTCTATTCTTCTTCTTCTATGCGATTCTTTTACCTTTTCTTTCCCTTATTTTTCTTTTCTTTTTGCTTCATTTTTTTTCTTCTCTGTTTAACCTCTTCTTTCTGTCTTTTTTTATTTTATTTTTTTAAAAAAGGACAACTATTATGCAGTTTAAAGTACAAATTTTGTTCTTTAAATGATTTTAAGATTTTAGGCAATTTAAGTACGCCTCGACTACAAAAGACGTGGGGCTGCGCCTTGCGCCTCACTCCTGTTAATACTAAGCTAAGGTAGATCATCAATAGGATTATGAGGTGTGCTTGAGCAACCATGCAGCAACCTCACTCAGAATGACACAAACCACGATCCAGTACAATGACCAAATGCAGATTGATTGGTGCCAACTTGTTCCCTTTCCATTTCTACATAAAGTTTATCCCCCCCCCCCCTTTTCTTCCCCCTCCCCCATTTACACAGCAAAAAGAATGCCCCAATGGCCCAAACACAGATTGTTAAATTCGGAAAACAAGTCTAAATTTGTATCCCATATGCCCATGGGTAATGGCTTTTTCTCCCAGTAAAACATTGGTCATCATGGTATTAAATCTTAGCCACACTCTAATGGGATGTTTGGTTCAATACAAGACATGGGTTTGGTATAGGTTTAGAATCACTCAAACCCAAACCAGGTTCACATTTTTTGCAATTTTCATGACTGGGGAGCCCCACTCTCTAAACCTCCAACGAGGGGGGGAGGTGGGTTTGGAAGAAACCCCCAAGTTAGGAATCATCAACCTAAAATGTAAAAAATAAATAATAAATGGAACATTGTATTTGTAATTTCGTAGGCTATCAATCGTACTCCACCATTGCCTTAATCTACAACCTAAATTACCTAACTCACTTCATGAAAATTAGCAACCTTCAAGTAAACCCATAGTCAACCACTACTACAGACTAACAATTGTCGTAGCAAGAAAGATTTTTTCTTTGGACTTTGTAAGAAAAAAAAGAATTCTTCTTTCCAATGCTTTTGATGATGAGTATTACAGAGTATGATTTGGAGCAATTTTGTTGACTTAAGATATGAGCAGCAAATTTTTTGAATTTGTTTTTGAAACAATGTGTGCAACAATATACTTCCTCCGTTTCTTTTTAGTTGACACGTTTCTTTAGTCACGTTTGCAAATGCACAAATTAAATCATTTATATCTTTAATTAGCAATGCAAAAATTATAAAAAGTTAATATTTGGAAAAATATACATTATGACGAATCTAACAAGATCTCGTTTGACTATATTTTTCTTCACATATAAATCACAAAATATAGTCAAAGAGAGGTGTGTGAATAGTGCTAAAGTCAAAACGTGTCCAACTAATAAAAAAACGGAGGTAGTAGTGTGCAATTTTGAATTTGTGAAGGAGAAAGGAGAGAAAAAACATTTTTTATATATATAATTTTGCCAGTCAAACTAATGAAATTTACTTTTAAGTTTTATGCAGCCAAACAAATGAATAAAGATATGGGTTTCTAGGTATGACTCAATCCAAACCCATGGGTTTGATACCTAACCCTGTACCTAATACCTACGGATGAACCAAACGCCCTATAAAGGGTTTTTGGCTTACCATGACAGATATTAGGCCACATTGCCCATGGAAATGAATTTGAACTGTTACTTATCGCAAACACATCCAAATATAAACTGTGGAGATCACCACTCACCATTTAGTCATAACTGCCTCTTCCACTCCTTCAATCAACTTTTTCCCCTTTTGGCTTTGGGGTAGTTGGTGTCACATTTGAGTTAGATCCTATTTTGTTATTTTCAATCGATTAGTATTTTAAAATTTAAGGATTGGATCAAATGTGGTCACATAATTTTAGGTTTGGATCAGGTGATAAGTTACATATTGCCTAATTCTAGATCTAGATACTTGCTTCACTGCTCACCAAGATTTTTTACTCCATAAAGTGCATGTGCTCTTAGTCTGTATTTAATTTGGGTAATTTTTCCGATATATTTAATCCTTTAAGTTCTCTTCCACTCTCATTACTTTCCCTTTTTCATCCATAATTGCTTTACAGCTATAAATTATCAAATTGTTTCCAGTTGCAACTAAAAACTATTCCACAAGCTGTTTGCCTGATATTAATTTTTACACCTCGACATACCCGATGCATTTAATATATACGAAGTAGGCCCCATACTGTTGTAATCTAATATGCAGTGATGCCTCATACGATAATTTATGTACAGTAGAACATAGCATGGAAAGGTAGCTTTGACGTTACCTTCTCCAACAGCGAACATATTGAAGAAGCCATAGCATGCATCACATCTGCAGCGGAGCATATAGCGTCCTTCAAATCTTGAATATCACCCTGAATAAACAATGCCAAGAGTTGCAGTCACACTGGACTCTAAAGATTTTAATCACCCAATTAAAAAACCAAGTCACTTACCTTAGCTCCACCAACAAGTGGAAGGCGAACTGTGCTAGCCTCTAATGACTCGATGGCTCCAGACAATGAACTACAATGATCCTTGACCATAAGAGCCCAACCTTCCAAGTATAACATCTGCACTCATTTTAGGAGCACATAATAAGGATAAATACAATCATTAAACGCCAGGAGCCCTGTCCCCCTGTAAGACAGACAGTTCCTTGAATGACCAAGCTAAAACAAATAGTGTTAACAATTCTAGCTTCTAGAGATTCAAGGCTTCCCAGATGCACAACAATAGAAGAGACAATTACAAACAGGTCCAACTAATACAACAATTTTTTTACAAAAAAAGGTTACGTACGTAGCATTTAGAAAACTTCATATCAAATGTAGTAACCTAATGCCTTTCTATCTTATTATTAAATTTTTATGATCAGCGAAATAACTAATTAGCTTCAGTCTTCAGAAAAAAATACAAATCATAAGCCTTACACATTTTAAAAATTGCAGAACTTGAAATATTTAAAAAAAAAAAAAAATATATATATATATATATATAATAATTAAAAAAAATAAAAAAAAAATTTAAAAAAAAAAACTACAAATAATCAAAACTATGTTTTACTGTATCATTAACAATAACAATAATTTAATAATATATAACACAACCGATTTTCTTTTGTTTTAATTGCAACGTTGGAGAAGGCATGCTTGTCAATGCACATTTTATATTTAAATATCTAAAGTTGTATTTTAGTAAAATTATAAAAAATAGATTTTATGAAAGTATATTTCAAAACAAATCTAACAAGATCCCACATGCTATAGTTTTTCCAACCTTGAAATTCAAAAGACAATTGAAGGAGTGTGTGTTTATAGTGCGAAATTCCAAACATTGCAATACAAAAAAACAAAAAAAAAATACATGATGGAGGCTGTAGTCTTACTTGCCCCTTCAAAATAGACACAAGCTTCAAATTCTGCTTCAGCCATTGTAACTCTTTCCTTTTACAAGAGACTGCTTCGAGCAATTCAGAGGTTGTTTTCCATGCATTGAAAAGACTCCTCTGGTGCATATGTGAAGAAGTTAGAAAGTAGAACCACATAATAACATTTAAATAAATAAGGGCTTCTTATACCCAACCATTCATGACCAAGAAGGGGGTATTCACAGCATAGGTCTCAATTACAATGTAACAGGCGCTAGTTGGTGGGACCAAAAGTCTATAAGTATGAATGAGAAATTGAAAGTTGCTGCTGTCTAGGACCCGAACATCTCCTGTCAAAAGCCAATAATATTGACAGGAATCACAGGAACAAGGTATGTTGTAGAACTATAAGAATGGTCACTGGCAGCATGCACCACTTACTAGCTGTGTTACCCTGACACTCCCCTCAACCCAGAGTATCACGTGTGACGCACGACACGCCTGGGTTGAGGCGTTGACACGCATACCGGAGAAGTGTCCCGGAGCGAGTGTCGGGATCCATTGATTTTGAGTGTCGTGAGTTGTGGAAGCCTTTAATGCATAAGAAAGTTAAGGGAGGAGATGAATAAAAAGTAAATGGAGGACAGCTATTTGACTCTGAATATTTTTTTTTTAATTCTTTTGACATGACTAAAAAGTAAAGTCTAAAATACTGTTGAACTTTTTACGGTTTACTGAGTTTACTTTTTCATGACTTGGGTGAGAGTAATGACAGCTGGGAAAAAAATATATTATACTACATATTTGTTAACGACTACTTGCTCTCTTACTATTTACCCTGTTTTATTTGGGTACAAATGATATTATCCTAATTTTTTTTACTCCCTCCGTAACGAGTTACTCGCAACAATTACTAAAAATGGTCATAACATATTACTTGCAACAAACTTATTTCTTTCCTTTTATGGTAAGTTTTTTTATGTGATATTACAACATTACCCTTACTTTTTTTTTCTAAACACCCTAATTAAACTACTAATCTTATTAACTTAAAGCCTAACATTGATTTAATCACCTCCCATCTAAATTCATCATCACCTTCATTGACCACCACCACCACCACCACCACCATCACCTTCATTTGCAACAACCACCACCACCACCGATCGCTACTATCGCCGGAAATCACCACCGTTTTCTTCTTCCTTGTCGAGGCCTTCGTTTTCTCTATCTTCTTTTTCTAGATCTGACTTTTTCTGGGTTCGTTGTGTGTTTGGTGGCTCGATTGTGGTGCTTGGTGGGTCGAATTTCTGGGTTCGAATTTCAGGATGTGGTGGTGCTGGGTTTGAATTTTGTGGGTTCGAATTTCTGGGTTTGAATTTCTGGAGGATTATGGGTTGTGGGTTTCGGGGTGGGTGGTGGTAGGTTGTAGTGGGTTCGAATTTCTAGGATTGTGGTTGTGGGTTTCGGGGTGGGTGGTGGTGGGTTGTAGTGGGATCGACGGTTGTGGGTCTGGCTTCGTGGGTAATGGGTTTCAGGTGGGTGGTGGTGGGTTGTAGTGGGATCGACGGTTGTGGGTCTGGCTTCGTGGGTAATGGGTTTCAGGTGGGTGGTGGTGGGTTGTAGTGGGTTCGGTGGTTGTGGGTTTGGGTTCGTGGTGGTGGATTTCGGGGTTATGGGTCTGGGTTCGTGGGATTTGGGTTTCGAGGTGGGTGGTGCTGGGTTGTAGTGGCTTCGGCGGCTTCGCGAAGGGTTCTGGGATCGTTGGTGGTGGTGGTGCTGGTGTCTCGTTGGTGGTGCGCTGGGTGTGGTGGTGTTTTCGTGGTTGTGGTTTTGCTAGGTGGTGGTGTTGCTAAGTGGTGGTGGTTTCGTGGTTGTGGTGCTTGGTGTTTAGTTTTTGTTTTTTTTTCATTGATTGGATTAATACTAAGCACATCCCTTATATTCCAATAATTACACTTAAGAAATTTTGCCTAGGAGTCCGCAAACTCCCTATTTGTTGCGAGTAAAAAGTTACGGAGGGAGTACTTTTTTACCAAGTATCGGAAAAATATCCCGACATTCAAAAAATAGCCGATACGGGGATACGGTCAAAAGAGTGTCTTCACTATGCTCTTTAGACACTTTAAGTAAAGTGTCTAAAGAGCATAGTGAAGACACTCTTTCGACCGTATCCCTGTATTATAAAGTGTCTAAAAAAACATAGTGAAGACACTCTTTTGACTGTATCCCCGTATTATAAAGTGTCTAAAAAACATAGTGAAGACACTCTTTTGACCGTATCCCTGTATCGGCTATTTTTGATCGGAGGATCGGATACTCCGATCCCTACTTGGATACGACACTCAAACTCGAGCCTGTGGAACACTAGGGATCATGCTGCTGTCTATTTCTTATATTGTAATACTGGAGCATTATTTCCATTATCCCATCTTAGATATTTTATATGCCGCAGCAGGAAAATAATAAAATCCAGAGCATGGGCATCACCTAGATCCCAGGAGCAATTCACGTATGTGATTAGTGGTGATAACAATGTTGGTACCTGCACACCTCAGAGAAGCAGGCAAAAATCCCTTTCCTTACGTCACAAATAAGTGCTGCACCAGTAAATAAATTAAAACAAGGATCTGAGCATAACCCAAAAGCCTCGACGCAGTTCCACGCATATTTGGGGTCCAACTTGTTTGCATCTGAGCAAGAATTCCTCACTTGTGTGACTTGGCTGGCTGAATAGCTTAGTAAAAAGCCAATGGTTTTACCATTACCATCTAAGTATGGATTTTACATGGTGCTACTTGAACCTAGTTCTTTAGCTTAGCCCAATTCCGGCACATTAGCTAAATGGAAAAATTAACTTCCTTAATTCTGGTTCCTGGTTGTGAGATTTCATTCATTAGTTTCAGTTAGTTTTTAGGAAGTGTTCATTAGCTTTCCATAGTTAAGTAGGAACTCATTTCCTTTTCATTCTGAAAGTGGCATGAGATTTCCTTGGAGATCCAAGGAAGCCTGTTTCCTCAATCTTGTATGAGATTATTTCTGGCAGTATAATACTAATCCTACTCTAACCTGGATTAGTTCATAAACCTATAGCCTTATAAATACACCCACCTAGTAAGTGAATTAGCTAGAGTTTCACAGAATTTTGATGCTCATAAGTACCTAACAGCACATTAACTAATAAATCACAAATCATTAAAGTCATAATCACGCAAAAAGGAAGCTTGGGACTTTGAATTGTCCCATGCATACAAGCAAATACATAATTAAGCAACAAGTAACTTTGTATGTATATAGCAGCTATGTTCAGTCAGCTAAAAGAGTAGATTAAAATTATTCAACATGTGAAAGTGTTTACATGTTGCATTTATCCATATCAGTTAAAGTGCAGCATGTTATTGACTTAATATTGTAAAACATTTATATTATCAAATGTCATGTATTCAGCATAAGTAGTAGAGATAAAGAGTCAATGAATGACTTAGTTCCCTTTGTTATAGCAAAAGTACCATACACGTCATCCAATCTATCAAGTGGGGCACACAAACGAAATTGTTTGACAGAAATCTTAAGTGAATAGTGCTACCTAACCTTTTTTGGTTTTCAAGTGTAGTATTGGTTATTCAGGTAGCTTTTCTTTTAAATAATTAAAATTAGGTGCAGTTATTTCCAAAAGTGGTATTTTAATTCCCAACAAGTTTCTCAGCTTTATAAATCCATTGGGACTTTGCAACCATAATCCAACCCAAAAAAAATCAAATTACTACGTTTGACTGTCTAAGAAAACATATGTTTTTCAAGCTTAAAGCATCCTACGAGTGGAAATTTTCTTGTTTGAGTAAGGAATGCCACATTTCCCACTCCTTTTACCTTTCTCCTTCTCTCCTCTCCAATGTATCATCCCCTCCATCTCCCTACTTTCCCCCTTCCTCTCTCACATTCTCTAACCAGTAACCAAACAAGGGAAAGTTAAGTTCAAAAGTGGATTTGAATTAAATTTTATAACTATTTTGAAATTATAACCCAACCCAATGTAAGTCCATCTCTGTCAAACACTAACTTAATATCTCACCTAACAAGTCCAACAAAACCATTTGTCTGTCCTAAAAGCCCATCGCCAACCCACCACTCTTTCCCTCATATATAAAGACATTCTTGACATTGATTAGATATGATTGGACGAGCTAATCAAACCTAAAACATGTCCCACTCCTTGTATCATACTTCCTCGTTTTCCTTAAAATTGTAATCCTTCTATAATTTACAAGTTTTAATAACTAAAATACCAAAAATGCCCTTATTTTATTCCATGGATAAGGTAGGGTAGGTATGGATCTATACTCTTTGGTTGAAAAAAGAACATTGTCAAGTGTTTTAGGAAACAGGGAATTATAACACAGTTTTTGAACTTAGTTCAGCCAGGTAATATGGGTGCACACTTGATTTTCTACATTACAGCTTCATTAAACTTAGTTCAGCCAGGTAGCATATATAAATTTTGAAGCACTCCAATGTACCATGACACCATATTCTGCCTTAAACTCGTAGGGAGCAAAGAACAAAGATATTGTCTCAAACTATGGCTGGCCCCTTATGAGGATTGCAGATGACATACTGGGTGGATTTACCATAATCAACACTGTTTGCATAAATATAAAAAACAAGCCACAACAACTACAAATGAAACATTGAAGGTAAAATCATGCGAGTAAATAACAAACAATTGCAACCTCAATAGCATACCTCTGCGTTGAACTTTTGAAAAGACAAAGAAGCCTCCGTTCTTGCATTGACAAACCGCCACTGCAAGTGCCTATTATGCAAGATACGAAGCAAATGTGCATCACCAAGACGGCTATCGCCCACCCTCACCCTCCTAACATCAGCCCCAAAGCAAAGAACTGATGGCATGCTGGTCACATTACTGGCCTCGGCATTTCGTACCCTAGATGGACTAGCCATTCGACCCATCCCTACTGAGGGGGAAGCCTTCTCAAATGCCAAGGATATTCCCAGCTTATTTGGTGATGCAGGTCTCATAGACATTCCTGATTTACTTGGTGATGCAGGTCTCAAAGATGTCCTTGGCTTACTTGGTGATGCAGGCCTCAAAGCTGTTGCTGGTCTACTTGGTGATGCAGGTCTCAAAGAAGTCCCTGATTTACTTGGTGTTTCAGGTCTGAAAGATTTCCCCGACATCCTTGGAGATGCAGGTCTCGATGATGTTCCAGGTTTACTTGGGGATGCAGGCCTCAAAGACGCCCCAGGTTTACTTGGCGATGCAGGCCTCAAAGACGCCCCAGGTTTACTTGGCGATGCAGGCCTCAATGATGCCCCCTGTTTACTCGGAGATGCAGACCTCAAAGATGTCCCCAGCATACTCGGTGATGCAGGCCGCAAGGACGACCCTAGGTGATTTGGTGAGGATGGCCTCAGAGACCCACGAATAGGAGATGAAATTCCTCTACTACTGACAGGTCCTCTAGGCGACGCACCTGAACTATCCGACATCAACCTCTTAGGTGGGACGAGTTTAGGCAGAACTGCCACTTTCAACAAACTACTTCTAGCCACTGGAGAACCCGACTCTGAGACATGTTTGGACCGGAAACCATTAGCCTCTTGCCAAACTTTTGGAGAAACCACGATACTCCGACCGCTACCTTTGCCACGACCAACACTGGCATTACTACTATCATGTGATCCTGTAGCTGAATTGCACTCAGATGACACACTCTCCCTATCAGAAACAATCGATTCCGAACCCTCATTAAGGCAACTAGCATTATCATCCCCAGTCCCCTCAACAACATCATCTTTACTCATACTTCTATTCAACTTACAATCACCCATCGACTCTTGCAGGGCCCTAACCACTTTGGTAGTAGATCCATTGCTTAATTTCTTACCTTCACAACCCCCCAAATCAACACTCCGACTCAACGAGCTAACCGGCGGCCGCGACCTACCTGGCCATGGCTGATTCTGCTCAATTAGCCTAGCATTTTCTCCTCCCGCTCTCGGCGTCATCCTGGACGGAATCGTCTTCCTCTCCGGAGTAACCGCTCTCCAACTCGCAACCGGAGAATACAAATATTTCGTAGTTTTCTTGCCCGCAAACGACCCCCCTTGAAATGAAGCTGAAAGGCTTTTCGAAGAAGACATCAGCAATTTCGCAGTATTAGACATCTCACCAGAAATTCTCTCCCCTCTCAATCTCGGCGTAGTTGGTTGGCGCCGCTCTACTGACTGCGAACGCTTAACTACCGAATTCGAATTCATCGCCGGTGTCGATGCTACGGCCGTCCCCGTCCTGGAGGTGACTGGGGAAGGACATCGGCGTGAAGAGGGGGAAAAGTAGGAAGAATTGGAGATAGTTGAAGAGGAAGAACCAGATGTTGAGGAGGAAGAAGAAGTCGACAAATAACGAGAATTGACCTCCCGAGATTTCGGACGCCGATGATGAGCTGCAATGGCGACATTGTTGTTGCTGTTATCTCTCTCCGACGGCAACAATGGAGGTCTCTTAGGTGTCGACTGCGACCGTAGATTCGGGGTCGTCTTCAGATTCGACGTTTTCGGTGCTGCTACCACCATTATCAACCTCCTCCAACTCTAAATCGAAGCATAAAAAAAAACCCTAATTTTTGTTTTCCTCCCCAAAGTTAATCTATTCACAATTGATGGCGATGATGATAATCAAAGATAAATCGGCTCAACCAGAGAGAAAAATATAGAAGAAAGAGAGAGAAATTCGGTGATTTAGAGTGATAAAACGCGACGATATTTCGAATTTCCGGCACTTTTAGGAGTATACAATTGAAGAACCTGACCGTTATACTGAGGAAGCGCTGATAGCCTGATCGTTGGGAATTGGGAGAGAGAAGAGAGAGGTGATATTTTCTCGGTGAAAAGCGGAGGAAGCGTGACAATTACTCCTTTACAGTAATTTTTTTTTAAAATTGTAATTTATTAGGAGTAACTAGTTTAATTCCGTGTGTTGCACGACTTAGGGTCTGTTCTCATTGACTGAACTGAGCTGAACTGAACTCAGCTGAACTGAACTGAAGTGAAATGAATATTTTATAAGAGAAGGAAATTAGGAGCTGAACTGAACTGAACTGAACTGAGCTGAACTGAACTAAACTGAACTGAACTCAGCTGAACTCAGCTGAACTGAACTGAACTGAACTGAATTGAGCTGAACTGAACTAAACTGAACTGAACTGAACTCAGCTAAACTGAACTGAAGTGAACTGAATTTCAACGTAAGAGAACAGACCCTTAATAGATTTTATTTGTTTTAAATAGTTGTTAATATTCAGTATTTGAAACAGGCATATAATAATCTCATTAATTAATTTTGAAAGAAATATTGTGTTTGTTTAGTTTTAGAACTAAGGATGAAAAAAATAGAGAAAAAAAAAATTACGATGTTAAAAATAGTTTTGGCGGGAAAATTTTTCATAAGAAGTCGACAAATGTCTCTTAATGATGTCAGCATCTTTTGTTTTAGTAATAGTTAATAGATTACTGGTAGAAAGAAGAAAGAGCACTAATTTATTAACTATTATTAAAACAAAACATTGACGATGTCATCAATTTTTTAAAGTGTTTACGTGTTAAACTCTCATAAAAAAATTTCCCTTCAAATTTTATCTATGTTGTTATCATTTTTTTTAATTTTTTTTTATTTTATTTTTTTTTTGTTTTTGTGTGTGTCTTTTCTAGCTAGAAACTAGGACCAATAAGATGTGAAATTTGAATTTGACATCAATATTGTTGTATATACTCCACACTACTTTTGGATATTCATAATACAACAATATTAAATAGGCATAGATATTGTTAGCTAATTATACACATTATTTTTTGAACAAATTAATACACTTTTTTTAATTTTTTCTTAATAGTAAATACACATTTATTTAGCTTCCACTCTAAACATATAAGCTTTTAGTATATTTAATCTAACCATCATTTTAGTATATTTTTAAGGAAATTTTGCAAAAAAAACACCTTTTAAATCTTATTTTTTGCATATAACCACCTTTAAAAAAAATTGCAAAAGACCACCAATTTTAAAATTTTTGTTGCAAATTACCACCATTTCAATGTAAAATAATTGATAAATTTGGCTGAAAAAGTGGTATTTTGCAACAAAATTTTTAAAATTTGTGATCTTTTGCAACCTTTTTTTTTAAAAGGTGGTTATATACAAAAAACAAGATTTAAAAGGTGGTTATTTTGCAAAATTTCCTATTTTTGATAACATAGTAAATATTACATTGTGATGCAGCATTTTATAACTAATTTTTTTTTAAGTACATGTTTTTTTTTTATATATCTGTATAACAATTTTTTTTTAAAAAAAAAAAAACGAGCCAAATCATATTAGAAAGTTATCAACGACAAAAGATAAATAATTATAGAAAAATTTCTAATCAACCACCGTGCAACGCACGGATACTAATCTACTTAGGGAGAATAACGGTCCCTAGGTTATTTGTACGGTTTTTTTTTAAATGAAAAAAAATGTTGAGGGTCAAATTTAAACAAAACAAAACAATTAAATGTGGCATAGCCATACCTATTAACACATTTTTTTGATTCAAATGAGGCCAAGCCAAGAGAAAGAAAATAAACAAACTACATACAACAAAAAAAAACGAGAAAGAAAAACACAACTACGAAGGTACTAGGCGTGGGAAGGCCACATCCCTAACATCCTTCCCAAAATACTACTAAGGCCTAAAGGAATAAAATTAAGAATATCTAAGTCGGTGTCTTGAGTGACTCCGCGGTGAGTCATACCTATTGACATCCTTTTGATAGCTTGTTATTTAGTATAGTATGATTTTAGTGTGGTTTTAGGTCATGATAATGTGATAAATCGATGTTTTAGTTTACTTATTACTCTACTTTTATGCATTTTTGTGTATCTCATGCTCCATGGGTTTTGTTTGTGCTTTTGATGCATCTTAGCACTTATTGGCTTGCACCTATGAAGTCTATGCAGTGATTGAGCACGTAAGGACAAGGAAAGAGGCAAGCACAGCTTAACGGAGCTATGAAAGAATGTCTTTGTGTGAAATAAGAGCATTTGAAAGGACTTTTGCGCAAGGGTCTACTTTAACTGACTATATCTTTTTTTCTAATCAACATTTTGAAAGTTATTCAAATGGGAGATTAAAGTTCATCTCAAAAGCTTTTAAGCGATTGGTCACATTTTTTTTTTTGACGAGTAATGAGAAAGTTATGGCGGCCTTCGAAACGAAGCTTGTTTTGGAGTTTTCAGGATGTCCTGCACGAAACTTAGAACACTGAATATAGCCCATCGGATTCGCTATACATACAAGATAATGAAAAGCTCCGGTTGTTCGGAGTTTCGTCGTCTTCGATAGTCAAGTTAGTATTGGAATGAGAATCAACGGAAATGTGTTGATTTTGCTAATGTAGGGTGTTCATTAATTGAGTTTAGCGGGCTTTTATTTTATCTCCTATATATATGATCACTATTAAGCTAAATTATTACTCTCCTTAACCAAGGACCGAGAGATAAAATTGGATTGTAGCTCCCTAACGCTTATTTAAAGGCCATGAGAATAGGAATTTCTAGTCAATGGAATCTTAGTGTATTGTGAATATGCTTTACTACTTAAGATTATGTTTTATAACCATTAGAATAGGATGTAGCTCATGATTCAAGTCATCCATTCTAGCTCAAGAAAGTATAAGTAATTAAGTATCCATGTCTTTTTATATGTATAATTGTAGTTTGTAAATGACTTGATTCCTAAGATTATTTTTATTATTATTGATTTGTATGTAGTTTATCTCTATAAATTTAAACTTTAAAAAAAAAAAAAAAAAAAAAAAAAACTTGACTTATCTTATCATAAGTTGACGACTTGACATTTGTAGGTGCTCTCCTTTGTCCTTGTGGGACCGATCCTTATTTGTCCTTTCTACCCACTGAAGAGACAAAGTTATTATATTTTTATCTTTGGTAGCTTAGGTCGGGCTTGATGATGTCTTATCAAGGTTCTACGTGTATGTTCTAGTCGTTCATCTTTGAATATAAGTCCTACAAATTGGTTCGTTGCTGTAAGGTAATGAAAAACATGGCTAAAAAAATTTGAATGATTTGTAATGCATAGGTTTGTATGTACTTCATATGGAGAAAATTAAAATTAAAAAAAATTACTAATGACCTAATACACAGCACAATTCAACTCGATACAAAATTAATTTTTTTTTTAAAAATATAGTTCAATATACTTCTCTAATATAAGATTCAAATCGGATGAAACACTTCGGCTAGAACCCGTCATCTTCTTCGTTACTGTTTTTAGGTTTTGTCTTTTCTTTTTGTGTCAGCCATTTAAGCAACAGTGAGCAAGAATTTTCTACACAATTCGACCTTCAATAACTATTCACCTCTTTTTGTGAAGTCAAAATGCCAACTTATTTATCTCAACAAAAACAATAGAATTGTTTGTGATGATATGATAGTGAATCCCTAAATTCTCTTTAGTTGGGTACTCCAAGTCAGATTAAATTTCATAATTCTTGAAATTGAGGTGTTCTCGCGCTTTCAATTTTAGAAGTGTAAGAAAATCTTTCAAATAACCTCCTATGCAAAGTTATTGGAAAGAAACCATCTCGAGAAATAAGATATATGATAAATCCCATATATGCCGCTGATAAAATGCAGAATAGAACCCCAAGTAATAGCCCGTTGATATTGTTGATGAAAAAGTCCAATAAAACATAGATGTTAATCATCATTACCACTGCCAATACTGTCCATGTCACCTTCTGCAATAAAATATTAGCAAAATTAGACCTAAAATAACATTAGACATGATTCTTGAATAAACATATTAGCACATATGAAACATCGAACATATATGTCAAGTACAAACCTCAAGTGTAGGTCCTATCTTAAAAACTCCCATCACCTCCTCCTTTGACACCATAGTAAAAAGGGGTATTAGAGAGAAAGGAATTTGAATTGATTGGAGCACATTAAGCCATTCATTCATAATATCCATTGCCCCATCCGATCTATCAAATATAATAGCTAAAATCATCGTAGGCACTATAGCAAAACTTCTTGTTATGACTGCTCTAAGCCATTCATTTAGCTGAATATTAAGAAAACCTCCCATAATAAATTGTCCAGCATATGTTCCAGTTATGGTGCTACTTTGTCCGGCTGCTAACAACCCGATACCCCAGATATAAAGAATAGGAAGAAGACCACCTCCATACTTCTCCTCAAGGTATCGCCCTGCATTTTCAAGGCCTACACTAGAAGCATTCTTTGTTCCATAAAATCCCTTGGCAAAAACAGTCATAACAAAAAGGTTTATCATGAAGGAGATGAGAAGTGCCATTGATGATTCAATGGAATAGTAATTGATTGCCTCTTGAACTTGGCCAAATTTTTTTACATCTACCTTCCTCGATTGAACGAGAGCGGAATGTAAATATATGTTGTGCGGGGTGATGATGCATCCAAATATACCTACTGCTTGTTGAATTGTCTTGGAGTTAAGTTTTGGTACCAACACACCTAAATCCATTAATATCATGACCATGTTATATAATAATAAACTAACAAACTTAGGTCATGCATGAATTAAAGCTAATATTGCTAATAAATTGTTACCTACTAGAAGCTCCTTTCCACTTGGTTTAGCATCAACAAACATATACGCGAACGAGATAGCCATTGTCATTACCATGATTGCAAATGCTGCTTCCATTTTTCTTACTCCATAACTCTCAAGAAACAAAAACACGAAGCTGCTTGTCCAAAAAAGAAAAAATGCATATAATTAAAATTTAGACACGATGCCTGTAAATCTGGACTACCATTGATACCATTTCCCACAAGCCAAACCTTTAAAATAGCCCATTCTATAGTTTCAAATTTTTAAATCTACATCTTTTTGTATGAACATATATAATTACAATCCTTTCTCTCTCCTCCTTTCTCTCACCAAAACCCTAGTCTCCATTGTTGAATTTTGAAGGAGCTTCCATCGATTTTAATCGGTGGAAAGGCTCAATCATTGTTTCTTTATTGTTTTTTTAGGTTTATAATAATGCTTCCTCCTTTTGGGAGGAACTTTTCTCCCTCGAAAGAAAGGGTTTCCGATCTCCTATGAAAGACAAGGGTTTTTCGACCTCCTTCGAAAGACAAGGTTTATCTCCTCTTTTCGAGAGAGAAATTTCTTAGTTTTGAATCCATGGTAGCAGATCTAATGGATTGTTGTGAAATTATTTCGTTGGTGAAAAAGTTATCAAGTTTTCGAATTCGAACAGATGAATGAGAAGGAAAACATCCTCACGGCTACAAAGGTCGTTAGATTGTCTGTGCAACAAGGCTGTAATTTTCAACGATATAAGCAGGAGATGCTCCGCAATGCAAGATTTACTCGACGATCGTAGTTTTTATGAAGGAAAATTCTATTTGATTTAATATCTTATGTATTTGTTAACGTCGAATCTCTATTGTAGATGTCGTATGACTTTTAATTAATGAAATATTTTTGCTATTCAATATATATATATATATATATATATATATATATATATATATATATATATATATATATATATATATATATAAGTGAAACATATGAAAGAATTAGTATTTTATATCTAAACACCAAAATCTTTATCTCTTTTTTCTTGCTTTTTTTTCTTTTTTAAACAAAAGTATGGTTTTTTTTTTTTTTTTTTATAATTTTGTAAACAAGAATGTTTCGGTGGGTTTTCAAAGTAATTTTATTTAATATATTAAACTATTCCAAATGATATTATTGTTGTACTATTTTTAATTCTAACAGGCTTTTTCACTTTTTAGGCATATATGTATAGATCTTAAAACACTTTTCAACATTAGCAAACACTAATTAAATCATCAAGGCGATGACCAGCCTTTAACTTTTTGTCAAACAATATATGCGCATTTATATATTGATCTTAAATCTTTTTTAACTACTTTTAATATCAAATTAGATATATTGAATTTTTATATCAATTAGCTAATAACTTGTAATGACCATAAGCATCACGGACACTAACTAGTTACCACCTAAAATCACTCAAATTTGTTTGGTTTATTACCTAAATCTGTATAACATCGGCATGTTATATATTTAATATTAAACTCCATGTTATCATTATAACCTACGTGCTTTTTCAAGGGGCATCATGCTTTCGAATTTTCAATTGATTTTAATGCTTTACTTATTTAACTCTTGTTCAATCCATTAATTTTGTTGGTGTACACACATTAAAAATTATACTCCATTTATTTTTCAATATATGTAACCGTTTAGTTGGTACATGTACAATACATTTTGATCTTAAATATTTGCTAGTATTATTAACAAATATGAAAAATTGTTACTTAAAAACATACATTGATATTATTCTAACTACATACAATTCAATAATAGGGTTAAAGCCAATTGGTCGTGACTCTTGAGTATTTAGAAACATAAGGAATACATAACTTGTTTATAAGAATAAGTTGATATATATGATTTTACATGGATACATCTCACACATATATAGACTTAGTAATGTAGTGTTGGATATCCCATGAACCGAAATAAACCTAGCTTTCTTTCTCTTTGTTGTTGTTCTCTCATGAATCAAATGTATGGATTTTAGTGATCCAACGAGTAGATTTATCAAAAAGGGAAATAAAAGGTACTACAAAATGAAGTGGGACACTTAAAAACTAGAGAGAGTACTAGTTTTTGGTGGGTTATCCACTTACCTTATACGGAGTAAAAGATTGTGTCTAGTAAAGGATGTTATAATAAACGCATAAACAAATAAAATTGTAGAAATTAATGTAGTCATGCCCTATAAAGTTCACACATTCAAATTCCCTATTCCGATCCCATAATTAGCGTTTATATTGTCCTTATAGATTATTTAAGCAAAGAATAAAACAAATTACGACTAAAATATAAAAGGTCCAAGATAGAAGCTTACCAATCAGCTGCAGTAATGACAACACTAGCCCAAAGAGGCAAAACACCATTAGTTAATATTTGAATGGCTATAGCTGTACCAACAACCTCCTGGATATCGGCAGCGATAACCGCTACCTCTGCCATAACCCATAGTAAAATCCTGGCCCATGGAGGGTACTCCTCCCTACATAACTCGGCTAAGTGCTTGCCTGTCGCAACTCCAACTCTTGCGGATAGAAGTTGAATCAAAAGTCCCATTATTGTTGACCATAATAGCAACCAAAGCAGTGAGTAACCTGCTATTGCACCTGCTTGTAGATCACCTTCTATATTTCCTATTAAAAAGGCAAAAAATAGTAAGTCACTAAAGTATAGGTAATTGTAAATATTTTTATTTAATAATGGAGGGAGAGTATAAATTCTTTACTTATTTAGACATATTAGTTTTAGTATATACTTTAGTATTTTACCGAGTAACAATAAAATACTCTCGATAAAATACAGTCCCTAAAAAATATTTGTACATTTTAGTCCCTCTAAACTATTTTGTGCACTTTTAGTCCCCTAGCCACCATGTTTGGTGTTTGTCAACCCAAAACTGAGGGACCTATCCTGGTCAGCAACAATTTAGGGATAATGATGTTTAGGGACAATGAGTCATCAATTAGTTATTTAGAAAGCTCAATTAATTTTTTGGTTTATTGAATAAAGTCTAGCTCAACAACTCAGTTAGTTCACTAATTCAATTATAATTATAAAAGTAAATTATTACAGTATCATTCCTCAAAATTAAAACACTGATTAGTCTCAATTTCGAAAATCATAAAGTCACTATTACATCAAGTATCAACTAATCTGAATTATTAATTTCTAAAAAAATAAAAAAATTCTAATTAGAATCATTAATAAACAACTCACAAGTCACAACCTACAATAATCAAAACATAACAAACCACTGATTCAATCAATAACTTAATAAGAATAGAAATGTAAATCCAAATTAAAGTATAATTATTAAAAATTAAAAAGATGCAAAGTCTCAAACAGATCAAATCAAGATTAATTTTGACTAAGAAAACTCACCCCACTGTCAGTATCATCATGTTGAATCCTTACAAGTTCATTTCTATTGTAAGGTCCAGCCATTTTACCAAAGGTCGCCTCCATTGTTAAGATATGAAATTCTCAGCAAATTCAACCAAAATGTAGCAAATTTTATGTGGGTCGGGCCGCGGTATTTTGGGGAGATTTGAAATGGTTATTTGCTCACTTTGTAAGAAATCCAAGCAAATGAAAAGGGTATATCTTTTTCTTCCAATTTCCCTTCTTGGTTAAAGAATTCTTGTGTTCTTGCCATCAATTGAATTCTCAAAGTGCATGTGCGTCATTTTTCGATTGGATTGCAGCTAGTAATTTAAAGATTTTACGCAGGTGGGTTGACGGTGGTTTCAAACTTTCAATGGGTAATAGGTAGGGCCGGGATTCATGAGTGTAGTTTCGGTGGGGCTGGGGGATCGTGGAAGGGTTGCAGTGGTGTTCGTCGGTAGGGGAGTGCGGTTGGGTTATGGTGGTTGCTGGTTTTAGGGGTGGTTTTTTTTTTTTTTTTTTTTTATATATATATTTTTAATTTAATTTATAACATCATAACTAAAAATTATTGTGTTTTTTTTAGTGATGCTACACATACAATGGTTGACAATACTATTATATGCATGCCACACCAAAAGGGAGGAAAAAAATAAGAGTAAAAAATAGGAAGAAACTAAATGGGAAAAGTGGACCTCCAAATGCAAACCAATCAAATACAGTCAACAATTACAACCATTGTATGTGTAGCCTTCTCTCTCTCTCTTTTTTTTTAATAAGAAATCAGTGTTGTTTTGTAATTACTTTTGCTTTTTAAATTAATGTTGATGAAAAAAAATCAATGTGTCAAAAAAAAATTGAAAATAATAAATTAAAGTCCCTAAACTATTGTTGACTAGGCAAAGTCCCTAAACTATTTGGTCAAAAACACCACTCAATGTGATTGAGAGACCAAAAGTGCACATACAAAAGATGGGGGACTAAAAGTGCACAAATACAAAATATTAGGGACTGTATTTTACCTTTACTCGTATTTTAGCTTAACCCCTTAGCTTTAACGTGAAAAGCTAGTTTAATTTATATTCGGTATGTTATTGCATTAAATTGTTCAACTTTATACTCTATACAATATTTTTTGTTGTCCCACTTGTTCTTTGCATATTTTTCGATGCAATATTAGTTTCAAGTATCTCAAGATAAATATTACTCCCTCTGTCGACCCTTTTGACCTAATTTTAGTTCCAAAATGATCTACCCATTTGCATTAAAATATTCTCCAATTTGCAATAATAATTGTGCAAAGTTAGCTTTCTCATTTAAATTTTGTTTTTTCCATATACTTTTATGACTTTCTCTCTCTACTTTTTTGCAAACCCCATGTGAATTTCATTTTCCAATATATTTTTACTACTATCTTTTTTATTTTCTTAATACCCGCAAAATCAACCCAAATGGGTCGTTCTTTCGGGGATGGAGGGAGTACAATTTTGTTTAATTTTTTTTACACATCTATATATTATTTTAAAACAGGAACATTTACAAGAAATCTATATATTTTTTTACACATCTTTTTTACTACTATCTTTTTTATTTTCTTAATGTCCGCAAAATCAACCCAAATGGGTCGTTCTTTCGGGGATGGAGGGAGTACAATTTTGTTTAATTTTTTTTACACATCTATATATTATTTTAAAACAGGAACATTTACAAGAAATCTAGAGTGCCTCGTGGCTTTTTATCTTAAAATTCTATTTCTTAAAAAAAAATTAAAATCCTTTTTTAAAATAGACATAACTACCTTTTTTCAGTTTCTTTTTTACAGTATTTTTTAGTAGTAGTACATAGTATCGATTTTCAATTCTATTCCAAACAAAAAAAAAAACCTCATTTTCCAGTTTGGAAAACTCTTTCATTCCCACTTGCCTTTTTCCCCTCTTCTCTCTTTCTCTTCAATAATTCTATAATTTCGATCAAACCACGTGATACATCTTAAACTATTATTCCTTGCAAAGTGGCTAAGACGACTTCTTAGTTTCAGAAAGCACTTGCGACAAAGTTCCTATTAAACTTACTCCCAGTTTACTTGCAACATTTTGACTGGACACGCTTGCCGATGCACATGTTTGACCATTAATATCTTTAATTATATACTAATATAAGCCATAAAAATTTTATATTAAGAAATTATACATTACAATAGACCTAAGAACATATTACATGATTATATTGGCTTTCAAATAATAGCTAAAAAAGATGGTTAAAGTGAGATGTGTGAATGTGCAAAAAGTCAAAACGTTGCGAGTAATTTAGGACGGAGGGAGTATTTGTCAAGATAAAGGTTAAGTTCTTTGCTGTCGTTGTTATATGATTTCTCAAATTGCAATTTAGGTACAAATTATATGGTTGAATCAGACAAATTTGATGGTTTAAGTTTGGGTCTTTAAAATATATGATTGACAAATGTCATTGTTGCATTGAAGATTTAATTTGTGGGCATCACTTACTATACTTATACTTTTTTAATGGATAATTTTGTATGCAGTATTAATCATACTTTCGGATGGAATTATTATGTTCAACAAATTATATTATATGATAAAATGGATTCCTTCATTCAAGTATTTTACGTACCGCTATTGAAAGTTCCACATTTTTTAATGTTTTAGTTCACTTATCAATTAATTTATATTACATTTTGAAATATAATCAATTATCATTGGTTTTATTTTTATTATTATTATTAAGTTGTTACAATTTGCTTACTGTTGGATTTTTGGGATTTATATTGCATTTTTTTTTGATGTCAAACATCTTCATTAATAAATCCAATTTAAAAACTATAGTTACTCAGTAACTTGTAATTTGATGCTTCATATAGGACGTATGAATTTATGGTTATGAGAATTTTGATTAGTTTTTAGGAAAATTTGTTGAAAACCTTCTTATAAAAACCAAATTTTGTTGAAAACCATCTTATAATTTTTTTTTGTCAAGGCACACTTGTTTAAAATTTTTTTTTTGTTGAATCCCACCACTTTTCGGATTTAGGCTATTGATTGACATTTCCAATGTTGATTAACATGTGCACCTCATATGACCCATTTATTCATTTAACCCCACTTTTCTATTATTTCCCCCTTTCCCTCCATTCTTTCCCCCTTAGTCACTTACATTTCCATGCAATTGTATAAAAGGCTATAAAAACAAAATTATGATGAAGAGGAGTGACGAAGAGGGGAACAAATGGAGGGAATGGGGAAAAAATAAAAGAAAAGTGGGTTTGAGTGGGTTACGTGAGGTGCACATGTTAGTCAACGCTAGAAATGTAAGTAATTAGTCGGAATCCGAAGGAATGGTGGGAGTTAACAAAAAAAATTTTAAACAGGTGTGCTTTGACAAAATAATTTTAAAATGGGTGTGCTTTGACAAAAAAAAAATAAATTATAAGATGGTTTTCAATAAAATTTGGATTTTATAAGATGATTTTTAACAACTTTCCTAGTTTTTAATAAGTTTTGTTAGTATAAATTGAATTTAAATATCTATAGAAGTATTTGACTTTATAATGGATTTAAAGCTTATAGATTTAAAGGGTTGTAAATATTACTAGAAAATAGATGTTCAATTAAATTCGATAACCATATAAAACAAACATTTCTCATATAAGTATAATTGCATATGATTTTAATTTGTTTCATTTTGCAGCCAATGGGTGTTTTAGAATTTTGGTTTAGTTTCATTTCGCAACCGGGGGTTTTTGAATTTAACACTACTATTAAAAAAATTTCTACTATTCTTAACGAAATTGAAATACTAGGCAAAAATACAAATACAAAAACAATTATTATAATACATTAAATCGCCATGCATCGCATGAGTTTAAGACTAGTTTAGGAAAAAAATGAGATGAACCTAACAATGCCTTACATAATGGCCTTGTTTGGCAATTAGTTGTTGGCCGTTGGTTGCTGCCTGCTGGTTGTTTAACTTGGCTTGTTTGACTGACTGTTAGTATTGGTTGTTTAATAATTTGTTGTATGTAAATATGTTTGGTAAAATCAGCTGTAAGATGTTGGCTGTAACTATGCAAAATGATCTTAAAGGACATAATTATGTGTTCTTATTCATTTATTATTAGAATTATTAATTACTAATTACTAGTTACTAATTTTTAATTATTAATTACTAATACAAAATACTAACTACTCCGTATTAATTATTAATTACTTAATTATTAATTATTACTCCGTAGTAAATACTAATTATTAATTATTTATTACTAATTTTTATTGTTAATTACTAACTATTAATTATTAAGTTACTATTATAACTATTAAATATTAAGTGCTAATTATAACTAATTATTAATTATAGACTACTAATTATTAATTATTAATTTTAATAATTAATAATTAATAATTAATAATTAACTATTATATATTATTTATTAATTATTAATTACTTACTAATCATTAATTATTAAATCTTAATTTTTAATTTTTAATTTTTAATTATTAATTAATAAATTCTAATTATTAATTATTAATTATTGATATTAAATATTATCATTAATTGCTAATTATTAATAATTAATTACTAATGACTAACTGATAATTTTTTTTAATAATTACTAATTAATGATTAATAATTAATAATTTCTAATCACTAATCACTAATTATCAATTATTAGCTATTAATTGTTACTAATTATTAATCAAGGATAAAAAAAGTACTCTCTCCGTCCTTAAATTACATTCCTACTTCTAGCATTTATTCCTCACATAATTGAGAAATGTAAGAATATAATTTAGGGATGGAGGGAGTAATTTGTTTAATGAAAAGCTTAAAGTCAAAGCCAAAAGGCTAGTAAGACTAGCTTTTTGTTTTTGGCAAAAAAGCCGGCTTTTCGGCTAGCTAAAAAGCCATTTTCCAAACATGTATCTTGGTTGTTTGACCAAAAGAAAAAGTCAATAAAAAAGCCAGCCAAAAGCCATTTACAAAACAAGGCCAATATGTCTTAGAGTATAGAGCAACCGTTAATATGCAAAATTTCATTTCTATTAGAATCTATTAACATTCCTATTGGGACAAACAAAAATTGAAGGGAGTATACACACCACATTTGTTAAAGCATATGATTTGTGGTTATCAGGAAAAAAACAATTATCATTCTACTTTTCAATATCATTACTCTCACTAGTTATGTTGATATATGTTAACTAAAGGACTTATATAACGCAATCATCAAAATTAACATATACTTGTATGAGGCAATATCTATACTAATATTCAATTTAAAGGCCATATAGAGTGCCACATAGGATTATTTATTTATTTTTATTTTTTAGGGTAGTTTTCCTACTTCCAATAATGCTTTCATATCAATTAATTTCCCAAATGACACGAACAATGCTTTCGATCATTATCATATCCCAAATGACGCTATTCCCCTGAAGTTTCTCTATTTAATATTTACAAATAAATTAATTTCCAATTATTCAATGTTACTTGATCAATCATCTTTATTTCTCCTACCTATAATCTTTATGAATTTTTAAAGGTTAGTTACAAGTGTTCATCCCCTTATATTAATTTCATATTTTAAGTCATTTTTTACATTTTAATTTCTCTAAACTTTTTCCATTCCTTTATGTGTTTTTTTAAGTTCTTAATGATAATGGGGTTGATGGATGAGTCGATTTTCGTTTTTATGTAATAGTCTATTCAAAATATTAGTTTTGTAATTTTTGTGATAGCTTTCATGAATTTATCAAATAATTTTTTTTGACATACATTACCAAATAAATTACAGAGAA